AGGAGACCCAAGGAGGAGTACATGAGATAAGTAGCATGGACATGATGCAAGCTAAAATGGACGCCCTAGCCTTAAGAGTAGATAACATATCCCAAAACCCTGCCACAGTAGCTGCACTCCACTCGGAATGCAAACTCTGAGGAACCCAAGGACATCCAACTTCAGATTGTTACCTGTTGAATGAATCTAGCTCAGAACAAGTCAATTACACCCAAGGAAACCCGTTCTCGAACACCTATAACCCTGGATGGAGGAATCATCCGAATTTTTCCTATAAGAACAACAATCCAATCCAACATCCTGGAACACCCAGACCGCAAGGTTTTCAACCTCAAAAATCAAACCAACCTATGCAAGTTGTGCCACCAAGATCAAATCTTAGGGAAACCCTAGATACTTTTATCACAATCCAGACTCAGCAAAACAAAGAATTTATGAACCATAGCGCCCATACAAACGAACTAGTAACACAACTAGCAACTAAGTTTGACCAAATGATGACCCATCATAAGATGCTCGAGACTCAGATCTTGCAAGTGGCTCAAACGCAAGCCACGCAAACCACACTTGGAGGACAATTCCCTGGACAAACTCAACCTAATCCTAAAGGACAAGCAAATGCTATCACTCTAAGAAGTGGAACCGCTTACGGTGGACCGAAACTTCCAACAATGTGTGTACCCGAAAAACCAATAAAAGATAGCATACCTGAGGACCAAGTAGAGAAACCAGAGGAACCAAGAACCCAACAGAATCAGGTGGAAGATTCGAAAGATAAAACTTATACACTACCTCCACCCTATAAACCTCCAATACCATACCCACAAAGACTTAAACAAACCAAGATAGAAAGCCAATACCAAAAATTCATCAAAGTAATAGAGAAACTCCATGTAGAGATTCCCTTTACCGAAGCAATTACCCAAATACCATCATATGCTAAATTCTTAAAAGACATCCTGTCAAACAAACATAGACTCGACGATCCTAAACCCCTAGACTGTCATTCCATCTCTGAAAATAAACTTGCAAAAAAGGACAAAGATCCTAGAAGTTTTTCTATTCCTTGCATCCTAGGAAATCATAAGATCGACAAAGCTTTCTTAGACCTAGGAGCAAGCGTAAGCTTAATGCCTTTGGCAGTCTGCAAGAGGTTAAACTTAGGAGAACTACAACCAACCAAAATGTCTTTACAACTAGTTGATAGATCTGTCAAGTACCCCACAGGGATATTAGAGGATATACCAGTTAGAATAGGTCAGTTGTATATCCCAACCGATTTCGTGGTAATGGATATTAAAGAAGATGACGAAATCCCGATTCTCTTAGGAAGACCATTCTTGTCAACCGCCGGAGCTATAATCGATGTTAAGAAAGAAAAACTTACCTTCGAAGTAGGAGATGAAAAGATAGAATTTATCCTCTCTAAATTCCTTATGGCACCTTTGATAGGAGATGCATGTTATGCAATCGACATCATTGATGAATGCGTAAATGAACTTGAGCAAGATGAATCCTTAATTAAACTACCACCAACACCCATTCTAGAGGATGATGGATATAAAGAACCTTACATTGATGACAACCTCTTTGAATTTTTAGCTCTTACACCCGATCCTATGCCGTGTCTTAAAAAGCCATCTCTAGAACTCAAAGAACTACCCAAGAATCTAAGATATGAGTTTTTGGACGAAGAGATGAATCGCCCAGTTATAATTAATGCCACTCTAGGCCAAAACGAAACAAATCAACTCTTAGATACCTTGCGAAAATACCCTTCAGCATTAGGATATAAAATCTCTGACTTGAAAGAAATAAGCCCGTCCGTATGCATGCGTCGGATCATGCTAGAAGAAAATTCGAAACCCTCTAGAGAGCATCAGAGAAGAATAAATCCTATAATGAGTGATGTAGTTAAGAAAGAAGTTCTTAAGTTACTGGAAGCTGGTATAATATATCAGATATCAGATAGTGAGTGGGTAAGTCCTGTACATGTGGTTCCGAAGAAAGGAGGCATCACGGTTGTTGAAAATGATAAGGGAGATAAAGTAGCAAAACGAACAAAAGGAGGATGGCGTATGTGCATCGATTACAGAAAGCTAAACAAGGCGACTAGGAAAGATCATTTCCCGCTTCCATTTATAGATCAGATGCTCGAACGTCTAGCTAGGCATTCGTATTTCTGTTATCTAGATGGATATTTCGGATTTTTCCAAATCCCTATTCACCCAGAGGACCAAGAAAAAACTACATTCACCTTTCCTTATGGAACGTTTGCCTATAGGCGAATGCCCTTTGGACTCTGTAATGCACCTGCCACCTTCCAATGGTGTATGATGTCCATTTTCGCGGACTATCTCGACGAAATTATGGAAGTATTCATGGATGATTTTTCTGTATGTGGATTCGATTTCAAAAATTGTCTCTCGAACCTTGAGAAAATCTTAGAAAGATGTGTGGAAGTGAACCTTGTGTTGAATTGGGAGAAGTGTCACTTTATGGTCAACGAAGGAATAGTTTTAGGGCATATCATCTCCGAGAGAGGGATAGAAGTTGATAAAGCCAGAGTAGAAGTAATAGAGAACCTCAACCCACCTAAAACCGTTAGGGAAGTACGAAGTTTTCTAGGGCATGCTGGATTCTACCGACGCTTTATAAAAGACTTCTCCAAAATAACAAAACCCTTGACTAACCTTCTTATGAAAGATGCTGAATTTGACTTTAATGAGAAGTGTCTTAAAGCCTTCAACATTCTAAAACAAGCACTAATTTCAGCTCCTGTCATTCAACCCCCTGACTGGGAGCAACCATTTGAAATCATGTGCGATGCTAGTGACTATGCAGTTGGGGCTGTCTTAGGGCAAAGAAAAGACAAGAAATTACATGTCATTTACTATGCCAGTAGAACCCTAGATACCGCCCAACTTAACTACACAACTACAGAGAAGGAATTGCTAGATGTAGTATTCACAATCGATAAGTTCCGATCTTATTTAGTAGGAGCTAAGATTGTAGTTTATACTGATCACGCAGCAATCCAATATCTGTTAAACAAAAAAGACGCTAAGCCGAGATTGCTCAGGTGGATTCTCTTACTCCAAGAATTTGACTTAGACATTAAGGATAAGAGAGGCACTGAGAATTTAGTAGCCGATCATCTATCTAGGCTAGAACATTTGAAACCAGATCTAATACCAATAGACGATCACTTCACTTACGACGAACTAATAGCTAGGATAAACACAATGAGCGAGGATGACTCTGAAACCTATAAAGAATTTAAACCGGAAAAAGTCTCAATGATAAGAAACGTACCTTGGTGTTGCAACTGGTTTTTTAATCAGAGTCGCCACCCTTAATTTTTATCCTAAAGGAAGGGAGTATAAAGGAATAACCCTAAAGTTCATAGATTCTAAGTTTGACTCGGTTCTAGACGAGGGGAAGGTGTTAGGCACCCCTTGTCTACCTTGTTCACAAGGATACTAGGTTTAGAGGTGTGTTTTTAGGAAATAGGGTTTTAATTATTTATTTAAGGAAAAGGGTTTGAATTTTAGTTAGCGGGACTCGCAACGATTTTTGATCGTATGCCTATGTATCCTCTTAGGAGGAATCAGAGTCTCATTTTCGTAGTTTGCGGTTGGTTTGTGTTTTTTATGGATTACGCAAATATGTGTAGATAGCGGAGATTTTGAACTAAACGCGAAGTTAATTAAAAAACTCTTTGCATTCCTTTTTAAAGATTATTTGTTTTGATTTAATTTATTACAAAAATAATTTGATGTTCGTTTGCGTATTTTTATACGTAGAGCAATGGAGTCTGATATAGTCTCCTCGTCACGCGGCCAAATATTGACAACATGTCACTTGCGGATAGAATATTTGGAATTGCACAGATTCTAATTATTTTGATTTTGAATAGTAAGTCGGTAGACGATGTGTTAACCGATTTAATTACTCGGAGATAAACATCCTATTATTTATAGAATGTTCGAATTAATTGAAATTTATTAACAAATTAGTTTACAAATTAGCAATTTATTTATAAATAGAAGATAAAAATAAATTAGTTGAGAAATTAAATATATATATATATATATATATATATATATATATATATATATATATATATATATATATATATATATATATATATATATATATATATATAAGTCGTAATGGGCTATTTTAAATAAACAAAGTGACCAAACCGATAGTTAACTTGGCCTCATTATTGCTGGTATTATTTTATGGTAATAAGTATATTAAAAGGAAATTTGATGTAATCATCAATTTAAATTTATTTGAAAGCATTGTACAAAATTAAAATATATCTTCGAATTAAATAAATTAAGCAAAAATAGAGAAGTAAAACTGACTGTTTGAGAATAGTAAGGAGGCCCAATGCCCATGTAAATCAAACAAAAACCTATTTTTTTCAATTAAGCAGTTTGATTAAATAAAAAAAAATCAAAGCAAAAAGAAATAAGGGATTAGTTTATAGGGATTGTCTTATTGTAACGTGAATTGGAATGAAATACCAACAATTCATGTTAGACATTATATCACATTAATTAATAATTAAAATAACCAAATGAACATGGAATATAAAGAAATTGGGTACCTGTGAAACAAAACCAAACGAATAGTCCTTTTCTATGTCTTCAATTCTTGGGACCAATGTTAGGCCGACACGTGGTGATGGAAAGAAAAATAAAAATAAAATTAATACTACCTGATATAACACCGAACAGGGATAAGGTTTCACCATCTCTTTCACTTCCTCTACTCCCTTTTCTTTGTCTCCATTTTCTTTTCAAAAAAAATCAAAGAAAAAAACAACACTTTCAACATGATGCCGACAAAAAAGCAATTACTAGAACGAAACTTGGATGGTGATGGATGTCAACAGATTTCCGGTGATTCATAGTTGGACGATGCTGACCGATGGAAGGGCTTGTGAGGTCGTGATTGGCGTCGCGTTGTTGCAACGGGGATGCAAATCAGAGGGAGGCGGATCTGATGGGTATGTGCGACCGGGTGAGCTCACGGCTGGGTTGAGCACGGCGAGCTGGGTCGTCGTTGGAGGGAGCTTCGCGGTGGAGGGATTTGAGCAGTAGCTTGGTGGATTCGTTGCAAGGCTGGGTGAAGATAGTTGTTTTCATTGAAATCTCGCGGCGGGATATACACTGAGAGGGGAAGATCTCAGAGTTGTGTTGCGGGTGGTTTAAGGCGGCTGTTGTTTCTACTGTAATAGTTTCTTCCCCCCATCTTATAGCCATTAGATTTTAGCGGAATAGGAAATTTATTAAATTAGTTTTTTAAGCTTTAGGAAAGGATTTGAATTTGTTGTCTGTAATTATTGGACAGTTATTGAGTTGTTTTTTTTCGTTTTTGAAAACATTTCCAGATTTGGATTGATGTGCCTTATTACCATTTACTGCGTTTCAAAGAATTAGAATAATAAATCCCTTACCCCATGCGCAGATGAATCTCCACAGTAAATGTTTTAAAAAAATGGGCCATTGATGGTAAACTTAGGCCAAGGCGCTTTTTTCTCATTTGAAACAAACAAATGTTAACAGATGAATTGGCCACCTTTTTTTGATACAGCGAACAAATAAAGCGGGCCCAAAATAATTGGGATGTTTTATGTAAAAAGTATTAAAAATAAAAATTGTTTATGTTCAATAAAAAAGAAATTTAATAAAAAGGAAAAAAAGTTTAATCAAATTCGCTTTGAAATAAAAAAGGCTAAATGGGCCACCGATTTGGCTGTAAGACTTCTAACATTCAACAAAACCCAACATTATTTTTATTTAATTATTTGATACAATGTTTTAACTAAAATTAATATAATTAATAATAAAAAGAAATGTTAATAATAAACTTAAAGTCAGATATTGACTTTAGTTTAAAAAATAATAAAGTAAATTTGGCAACAAAAATTAACCATATGGCATCACTAATATTGATTATGAACTATGATGTTGATTAAACAAATAATAGTACTTAAACAAATATTGGCTTAGTCAAAAAAAAAGAATGGGCTTCAAACCCTCTAATTAGGCTATAGAGTCAATTCAGAATTTGTAAATCCCGCACACCCATTCTTCTTATAATACACCCCTCTCTTAAACTTGAAACAAATTTTAAGACTTAATGGACCATCAGATATTGATGGTCTATTTTACATCAACACACCCCTTTGACTTTAAATACTCCTATAAAGGTGAAAACTAAATAATAAAATTTATTTGAAGAAAACCTAGATTAGGGTAGGGAAAATTTGGGGTATGACACTTGGTACGTAGACATTGTGAACTATCTAGCTGCTGACATCATACCCCCAGACTTAAGTTTTCAACAAAAGAAAAAGTTCTTCAATGACATCAAAAACTTTTATTGGGACGAACCACTCTTGTTCAAAAGAGGAATAGACAACATCTTTAGACGATGTGTTCCAGAGGAGGAAGTGGAAAGCGTCATCAAACATTGTCATGCCGCGTCTTATGGTGGAAACGCAAGCACATCAAAGACATGTGCCAAAATATTTCAAGCAGGCCTTTACTGGCCAACTTTATGGCGAGATGTCCACACTTACATCACCAAGTGTGACCAGTGTCAACGCACTGGGAACATTTTAAGGCATGACGAAATACCATTAAGAAATATTCAAGAGGTAGAACTCTTTGGCGTATGGGGTATAGATTTCATGGGGCCTTTTCTATCATCAATGGGAAATAAATATATTCTTGTGGCAGTTGACTATGTGTCCAAGTGGATAGAAGCAATAGCGGCACCCACAAACGACACGAGAGTAGTGATCAAATTGTTCAAGAACATCATATTCCCTAGATTCGGAACACCCCGTCTAGTCATAAGTGATGGAGGATCGCACTTTATATCCAAGATATTCAACAAACTTTTAAACAAATACGGAGTCAAACATAGAGTAGCAACACTATATCACCCTCAAACCAGTGGCCAAGTGGAGGTATCAAATAGGGAAATCAAGCAAATCCTAGAAAAAACCGTGTCAATATCCAGAAAGGATTGGTCCAGAAAGCTGAAAGATGCACTTTGGGCCTATAGGACAGCTTACAAAACCCTATTGGAACTACCCCATACCAATTGATCTATGGAAAATCCTGCCACTTCCCTTTCGAGTTAGAACATAAAGCCTATTAGGCTATAAAATCCTTGAATTTAGACTACCTAAAAGCTGGAGAGAAACGGATTCTGGACATTCATAAGTTAGAAGAACTCCGCCTAAATGCTTATGAGAATGCCATCATCTATAAAGAAATAACAAAGATATGGCACGGTAAGAAAATTACTAAGAAATAATTCAATGTAGGCGATCTTGTTCTTCTGTTTAATTCCAGATTACGACTTTTTCCTGGCAAGCTACGTTCAAGATGGACAAGTCCATTCGAGGTATCAAAAGTGTTAGTATCAGGAGCTGTAGAAATCAAGAATAACTCAAGTGCTCCTTTCGTGGTAAATGGACAACGACTGAAGTTGTATAGAGGAGGTGACCTGCCTATTGACTACTCTAATCAGACTCTGATAGACCCACCAATCCCAACTTGAAAAGTGAGATCTTATCGTCAAGCTAACGACGTTAAACAAGCGCTGCGTGGGAGGCAACCCACAATCTTTTTTTTTTCTTTTTTTTTAATTTTAATTTTTCTTTTACGTAATTGAAATTGTAATTTTGGACTGACTCATCTACCTTTTTCAGGACCAAGTGCTCTTATATCACCTTTTTCAGATGGATTTCGTTGATGGACTCGATGTAATCTTCAGAGACGACGCTCAGCGGGAGCGATTTGCTACACTGTCTGCTCGACCGATGCTTCCGACTAGATACCCTGATTCTGCTTGCATGGATGCATTAGGCATTGAGGCCAGCGTCCGTTATCTGTGCCATCAAGTCAGTTGGGATGCATATGCTGACGAGATCCACGTGACCTACAGGAACCTCACCTTGGAGTTCCTCAGCTCACTGGAGTATGAGCCCTATGTTGGGACCAGAGAGGACCGTGGGCGGATTAGTTTTCGCATGTTCGGAGCATAGTATGTTTTTACTTTGAGACAGTTTGGAGATCTGCTTGGATTCGAGACTGCACTTATTGCCATCCCCGAGCTTCCTCTAGGGTATTTCATGAGCAGGGATATAGACAGATTCTGGAGAGCTATTACCAACGGGGGCAGCCTCGACCCATCTGAGCAATTGTCTAAGAGGATTCATAACCCAGCTCTCAGGTACTTTGAGATGATTCTTTGTCATACCTTCTTTGGGAGGAGCTATTGCGATCATTTGGTGATTGCAGAGGAGATATTATTTTTATACTGTGCTAGTCAGTCACGTCCCATTGCGAGTGGAGCTTTCTTGATAGAAAGTCTAGATATGGCTGCGTTATCCTCTGAGGGATACTTGCACGCTGGTGGAAATGTGATGCTGGTTGCATCTGCTCTGGGCTTGGATAGCCATTTACTCCGCCTGACACCATACTGTGGTAGCACACGCATCGACATTGACTTCTGCTTAGACCATGGCCTTATGCGCCGAGCTTCTTTTCATCCATATTAGTACAGGCTCCTTATTGACGACCAGACTGTCTACTATTTCACCCTGCCTGATCCACATTTGACCTGCGTCTCCAACCGGGCAAACTGGAACTACACTTTAGAGGGTTGGGGTGAGGCATTTATAGACATCACTGACTAGCCAGAGCCAGAGTATTCACCAGAGTTAGAGCCAGAACCAGAGTATTCACCAGAGTCAGAGCCAAAGTATTCACCAGAGCCAGAGTATTCACCAGAGTCAGAGCCAGAGTCAGACGACCCGATCACTGAGGATCCGGTTACAAAGAATCCTACCCCAGAGTACACGCCTGCACCTAAGGTTGAGCATACCGTTGTTTATAATAATAAATTGACCTTACAGAAGCCCGACATGAGAGCACAGCTGGCAGCCATGAGAGCTGAGATGGCTACACTTCTCCAGGAGGTGGCTGATCTCATCCTACAGGTAGCGTTAGATGGTTCCACATATGTTGGCGAGATCGACGATTTGACACACGAGATTGCTGAGCTCAGACGCCAGGTGGCTGAGCTGCGAGGACGTGACTTTGCTGATATTTGATCATGAGACGTTCACCATTGTTATTATTATTATACTATTTTTATTTTTTCTCAGACTTACTTTTTCTGTTTTTCAGTTCAGTTGCACTTAGTACTCACTTACATTTATATATATATATATTATGTGTTTTATTTTCTCTTATCTTGTTTTTATTTTATTTTTCAAAAAGTAGAAAATAAAATGTATGTGTATGATATAGACATATATTTTACAAAAAAAATATATTTTCACCTTAAAACGCTAGGTACACCCCAAGTGACAAGAGCAAGCCGCCATTTTTTGAAGCCCAATTTCCCAAAGAACAAAAATCCGGCCCAGCTAGAAATTTCACAGACCGCGCCCACGGAGAAAGGGACCGCGCCCGCGGACCTCCAACGGTAAAAATGGCTACTTTTTGTAAAACTCACCATTTACTCCATTTTGTTTCCTATTTAAACCCCATTTTCTTCCTCATTTTACCCACATTTCATACCTTACCTTCCATAATTTCTCCACTTCAACTAATTCTCTATTATATGTCTTTTCCCACTACAATCCTTCCAAATCTATAAAAATCACTATTTTCTTCCTCCACTATACTATTTTCCTTTCTCCAAATCGTTCAAAACAATCAAAATGGACTTCAATGGGTATGTTCTTCGAAACGGCAAACCGGGATCCACACAAAGGAAGCTGCTCGAAAAGCTACAGTCTACGGAAATTTACTCAACCAGGTATATTGACGAAGACTGTCTCTACACTTTAGGTATTTATCATAGTGTTTTTCATTTATTAGATAAAATATGCATGCATAATATTTTCTCTACAAAAGAACCTACCTACCCAAGGTTGACATATGAGTTTTTAAGTTCACTTATTTACAATGTCACACCTAACACTGCTAGTACCGTAGGTGGGGTACAATTTAGAATGTTTAACCGTGAATATAGTTACTCCACCGACGGTTTAGCTGAGTTGTTAGGGATTCCTTTTGGGGAAGGTGCTATTTGTGAAGCACCCTTGGATACGGACTGGACAACCGCTGGCTATGCTTTTTGGCAAAAACTTACAAACCAAGAAGCAAATTCTTTTGATGGCCTGCTAGCCTCGAGTGTCCATAATCCGGCCATCCGTGTCTTCCGATACCTT